ACATTGTTATATATTTGTTCAGAACGGTCGTTTACTTCCAAGTGCACCCCGTAGTACATAGTGTTTCTTTTCTTTTTTTTTTTGTAAATTTCTATGTGCTCCGTTATCTGCTTCGTATAAGACGCACACAGCAGCATGGACGCCGGTACACTCTTGTATGGCTCAGTCAAGTGAGTTGTGATCTAAGTAGGGAGAGCTCGTTATGGGATAATAATCAATTCAAGTAAAGTCAGTAGTGGGGTCATTTTTAGAGGTTGGTTAATCAGGGAAAGTTAATGAGTGACAGTAGGACGTCTATGTGAGTAAAATACCGAGGTGTATATATATATACTGCTCGTGAGCGTGCCGCTGTTAGCAATATGTATCCTTTTATCCTTTCCTCTACACATTTGTATATACACGAGCAACTTTCGCTTCGTGGGCGCGTATAGCTGTATTAGCCTATAGCCGCTTACGAGTAATACGCACTTCCCATCTGGCTGCAGCCATTAATGAGAAGGCTTTGTATAAGCTACGATTAATTGTTTCGCGTGAGAGTGCGCTTTCATTCGCTGTAGCGTTCACGCGAGGCCGTATATATATATACAGGTTCGACTTAGACCTTATAGATGGAGTGTAAATACTGAAGGCTATATGCCGCGCGCAAATACGGATTCGCTCGGAGGATTTCAAGCTGGACGGTTGTGCCCTCGCGATCTCCGACTTCAGCGTAGCTCCCGCCGACTGGTTCGCCCTCCGCGGTCTCCTGATGCCGTGCAGCTCTCGCATTGTGGCACCCCGCCCTTGGACTGCTTCGACCGGATCTCCACTTTCCTATCTCCTTCTTTTTTCCTCTCGTTGGCTGGCGGCTTCTTATCCATCTATTTTCCTCCTATTCTTTTTATTTCTTCTCTCTATATCTTTTATTCCCCATATCCCATCCCTCTGCTGACCTGTTGAGGTGTCCTCGTAAGGAGAGACAGTTACGGGTCAGCACCTTTCTTTTTTTTTCTTCTGATATAACCACAATCTCTCTCAAATACCTGCCGGAACGGCCCGCGCATCTTCGCCGTTGCTGCGGGATGTTCCGCTGTGAATCTTCGCATGCAGATATAGCTTTCGCAGGGTCAACGTCCCACTGACCCTCGCTCGCTCGCTCTCACGCAGATTTATTCCTCACGGTTCGAATGGTATCCTCCGCACTTGAACCGTCCACAAAATCAAGGGAATGTTGTTGCTTGGACATAAGTTTCCGCAAGTGAAACTAATTATGTAGAGTGGATTTTCTTGCTAGTGGAAAAAGAAACAAGCTTAAGCTGATGAATTTGCGTCTGGCTCCTCTGGCCAATTCTGTCATGGCGATATATATATATATATATATATATATATATATATATATATATATATATATATATATATATATATATATATATATATATATATATATAGTCAGACGAGGTTGCAAGGTCGCAGAGCGCCGCTATAGAGCAGCATCGTGCGTGCTAACGACTGGTCTCCCATCGTAAAGTGTGGGGGGGGGGGGGGGTGTCGACAATGATAGGCGAACGTGAACGCGTACGCAAACCTTTATTTGATCCAACGTGGGTTCACTGCAGTGAGTGAATAACAAACCGCATAGCATTTTAGACCGCAAGAGCATTTTGCTAGGCCTTGTAGAAGGGTTTGGTAATTCCCTACCGCCATGCATGTGTCCGCAGCTGGTGTTGTTTTGTCGCTCGTATAGTGCGGTACATGTTACATGTAATAAGTTCCAAACGTCTGCTAATAGCATTGCATGCAGTTTTAAATATACTCGAGTATGTATGTACGCGTATTTGGTGTAGGCGAAGGATAACCTCTAGACAGTTATAGCACGAAACTACCAACTGTTTATTGCCTAAAGTAGCTGAGCAACAAGTCCAGTTGACTTATATTTTTTTTTTCTGCAGTGGGCTCTTTTTTGTGTCTTCAAACCATGCATCATCATACTCCAGCATCAATCTCATCGCGGATTCATTATGCCGGCTGAGGCGATTAAGCGTCAAGCGGAGGGTGGTGCCATAGGGAGTGAGCTAGTGTCTGCCAGTTCGTTTCTTCACTTCGTCCCAGTACTCTTTGCGCCGTGTTTGTGTTTCCTTGAGTATAAATCAACTAGCTCAGCAACACGTACTGTCGTTTATTGCCAACAAAGGCTGGGAATGAAGAAATGCTTTCTCGCATGCGCAGTGGCATGAAAGAGTGACGCCAACATGTGAACACGTTATCCGTCTATTAAAAAAGTATAACTCAGATTGATACAGTACAATTGATGCCCCGCCGTGGTGGTCTAGTGGCTAAGGTAATGGGCTGCTGACACGCAGGTCGCGGGGTCGAATGCCGGCTGCGGCGGCTGCATTTTCGATGGAGGCGGAAATGTCGTGGGCCCGTGTGCTCAGATTTGGGTGCACGTTAAAGAACCACAGGTGGTCGAAATTTCCGGAGCCCTCCACTACGGCGTCTCTCATAATCATATGGTGGTTTTGGGACGTTAAACCCCACGTATCAATCAATCAATCAATCAATCAATCAACGTGTACCCTCTCTTTTATCAGCGCTGCTAGTGTGCCGCCTCGAATGTCCGTTAGTATATCAACGCACTGTTTGTCCTGTGTAGCACTTTTGCCACAGCTCGGGAAAAATTTCGTAGACTACACCGGTCATTTCCGGAGACCTGCTGGCATTTCCGTTTACTGCCGGCCGAATCGTATACATGTATATGCCGTGTAAGTAGATACGTTCGCGAGATGAAGACGCGGCACGGACGGAAACCGGGCACCGCGACTCTGTTCGGCGGCGGCGGAAATTGAGTATCCTCCGCAGACGTTGTAAGTGTACGCTCCTTGGCGCTGCTCTGGCCGTCAGCCAATAACGGGACTGGCGCGTGCCGTATAGACAGCCATATGCGTTTCTTGCGAGGCTGCACGAGCATGACCCACAAGAGCGCCAGTTTTGGCGTACGGTCAGAGTGTTGAGGCAGCTGTGTACATCACAGCCTTTGCGCGTCGTACATGCTATCAAGGAAAGTAGCTAGTGGAACGAAGAAAGTGTAAATTTTAAAGACTCGTTTTTTTATGTACACAATATAAAAGAGAAATAACTGTGGGTGATTCTCATTAGAACTGTATATAACGCAGAAAGAAACGAGGCATTATTCCACTTTTACCATCATTCATTGCGAAGTTCTCGTTCTGCCAGACTTGATGCCTTCAGATATTCGCGCGCTCCGGAATCCTGGGTGGCCCTACTCCGCGAGTCCAACGTCCAGCTTGGATATCATCGTTCAAACCTTCGCTGCTGCAGTGTTGGAGAGCTCCCGGCCGACGTGTCTATATATGAGCGACTGGCGCAATGGATTTGATCTCCTCACGTTCGTTGACTGTTCTTTTGCTAAGATTCTCTTTGTCTTTCTGCAAAGCAGTTTCAAACTCTGGCGTGACTGTACGGTAGAATGTTTGACTTGTCATATGCCTCGGTTTGATTCCGGCTCGAGCACTGTTCTTTAAGGTCATGTTTGACAGGCCACGCAGGCTATTGCACCGTGCGCCGTATTTTTTAACGAAGGTAGCTCCTCACAGCTACGTTCAGGGGGTAGACGAAGCTGGGTATTCTGAAGGAGGCATAGAAAATGAAGCATCGTTCTGATTGAAACTTCAAGCTTACTAATGCACGTATACCACGGATATTGAATAAATTCAGCCGACTATTGATTAAAGATCCTATGGCCTCCAGCCAGGAGGGGAGGGGCCAAGGTGGCTTCATTGTGGGAACTTGAGTGAGCACTGACAAACGCGGTTGAACGCATCGTACGTTCTGCAATCCCGGGAAAAATAACAATGGAAACTACGAGAGTGGTTGCGGCGACAGGCGGATCAACACGAACGCATGTAACTGCGTCATCGGAAGCTCAGAGCTCTGTTCAAGTGATTGTTCTTGCGTCTAGAGGAATATACGACTGGCTTTCAGTCCTATATGGCAGCCCTTGGCAACACCATCGCTGGATCGAGTCTTCATGAAAGCAGCAGGGCTCAGTGCCTCGACCTTTGATCGATGAGTCTGGGATAATGCATTCTCTGAGAGATGAAGACACGTTGCTTTGCCTTCGTCGTACTGATTCTGTATAGAATATCTCGACAGCTTTACAGAAATGCGTAGTAAATGACGTAGTCGCGCCGGCATATGGGTGCGCGTTTTTTTTTTTTAACATAACAGCAGTATTGGCTGTTGTTACTACGTTCCTATTATTTTGAGGTCGCTCAGATTATGTACATTGTTTCTTTATGTCCTGTTATTTGTTATGCTGTCCGTATGGGATAATTCGCATGCTATACATGGTCTACCCGCGGATTGGACACTTTCTCATTAGAGGTAATTATTTGTGTTTCGAAATTTTCGTTCTCACTTTCGTGGCGTGTATCGAAATCGGAATTTTGAGTGTTGCAGGCATTTTTTTTCCCGCGCTCTTCGAATATGTTAGACGCTCCACCCAACTTCATGAGCTAAGAAGCAGCCAAGGCGTTATTGATGCGCTAACATCTTCTTATATCGCGTCGATAAAGAAGAAACTTGTGGTCGTGGGAACAACGCGACCTCGTCAATAACCCGTCGATCACGACGCATTCACGCGCACATAGTATTCGCTCCAGCTGTGGGAGGAGGCGGATGGGACGCGCGCATGTGCACGCGAAAGTGTACGCACGCGCCGCATCCAACCGGTTTCCTTCTCTCTTCAATTCCGCACGAAAAAAAAAAAAGCCCTTTCTTCCTTCGGCCGTTGATACCACCGCCAACGAACGATACACAAAGAGTAAAAACGACTGCGCCCGTTGTGCGGCAGCATCCACACTCCCGCCAGTCGTGGCTTCGTCCTTCTCCCCCCCTCCCACTCTTACCGTCCTCTCCTCTCTTTCGTAGTGGAGTCGTGTGGTCCGGCGTCGTTCTTCCAGTCCTCCGGCTGCTGTGCGCGTGTGTGCTGCACTGCCGTTGCGGGAGGGAACGACTTCGCAGGCACTTACGGCGAGCACCTGTCGCGAACGGAGTTGCACGTCGCCGCGACACAAGCCGGCGTGTCGCTGCTCTCCGTCGCCGCAACGTCCCGACCGTCGTGACACAAGCCGTCGTCGTTGTCACTCTGCGAGACTAACGAAGAAGGCACGTGCGCCGCCGTCTCCAACCTTGCTTGTGTGTCGTGCCGTTTGTTTTGTCTCCGTGCGTGTTTGCTTCGACAAGGATAGGGAGCTGATTGCGTCTCCCGACACGCAGTGCGCCAGAGGACCCATTTCTTTTCTTCTCGCAGTTATATAGAGGTGCGTCGCCGACCTCGTCGCCTTGGCATCGCGTCGATTCTTTCGATCATCGGGAGACACGCCTCTCTCATCCGTATTGCCTGCACCGCCGGAACCTCCCCATGCCTCGCCACTCCACGGACTCGAACCCACGCCCATCGACGTTGTTAATGTGGGCAGTCGCAGCACCAGCGGTAAATGTACTACGCAGTCCGCTGGAAGAACGCATGAACTGACATTATTACCACGCCTGTTTGCTGCCCACGCGAGGAAAGATTCACGGTTTGTTTACTTTGTCGGCGAGTTCTGCGAGGAAGTGGGCCGACTGTGTGTGTGACATAACCGTCTCTTCCGCTTGGAAGGAGCTGGCCGGATTCTGCCCGCTTCCGCCTTCGGCTCTGCCATCCTTCACTTCACCGAGATTCGAATGTGTGCCGCAGCGCGAATGAGACTCGAGCGAACAACGCCCATCGACGCCTGGAGTGACGTTTCGGCTCGCCTCAAGTGATCTCCCACACGGACGAAGATACGGCGAGGCGCGCCTGCGCTCTTACGATTGGAATGCGTGCTTCGTGACTTCGTGAGAGGTTTAAGGGGGAGACCATGACTAGGTGTGTTTCGCGTCGCTCTGGGTGTTGATGAATGCCTTCGACCATTCGTGGTCGAACGAGCGCTGGCTCGATGCTTCTTGCGCATGGTGCAGCTTCCTGGTGCACTTTCCCGACCGATCTAACTTCTACGTCGACGCCTAATCCCGTCATTGTTCCTGTGGTGACGGTATTGTTTTAGTCGTCCATCCCTGCCGCTTCTGAAGCTGTAGCGTCAGCTGGGAACGTGCTGCGTGCCGAGACAGTGGTGGTCTTCAGCTCCGCGAAGATGTCGTTCGACCACTGCGAGCTCTTTTTGTTACGGCTGCGTGCTTCTCATCTTGACAGCGCTCTCCCGACACACTGTGACAATGCATTTCTCCACAGGGAAGCCGCGTTGCACGCAGTGCGCAGTGGCCATTGACGCGGGGATTCTTTCGCTCGTAAGGAGTATTCGCTTGAAATTGCACGCGTGCGCTTGTTTACCGTGAGCTGGAGGTGTACTGCGGCGTACTACAAAGTGTACTGCGGTGAACTACAAGGTGTACTGCGTTGACGCAAGTGGAAGCCATGGATTCTGTCTTCCGTTACCTCTACTACAATCAAGATGACGACTCAACAAGTAAGATACGCTGGAGCGTTGAAAGAGGCTGTGATGTGATTTTTCTGCGAAATCTTATTGTCAATTTTGCGTCCCCTATATGTACGCCGTTCTTTAACGCTCCTTCTTTTATTTATTTATTTACAAATACTGCTGTCTCACAGTTCGAGACATTGCAGGAGTGAGTCCATAACAGTGAATACACACTAAACTAACAAAACACATGGTTTGGTAGTTCATTCAAAAAACTATTGGTAGGCAACTTTCGGAGAGAAACATCCAGATTATTCCACAATTCCACTGTGAAAGGCAAAAATGAAAACTTAAAACAATCTAGAAATGGCATGAAGGGTGTGATGTTTATGGGGTTTGACCTGCGAGTGTTCGCAACGGAGTTGGAAATGGAAATGGGCATGTCAATGGTGATTTTCTTGTTCACAATTTTATGTAAAGTGCCGATACGCTCACAAGTACGTCTGTGTTCAAGTGATTTGAGTGATAGACGTACAGCGTGTGACGAAGGCGAAAAATTCTGATCATAACGGTGATATATGAATCTTATTGCTTTTTTTTGAACACCTTCCAAGTGTGCTATGTCGCCTGCGCAGTGAGGTGACCAGACAACGGAGGCGTATTCAAGAACAGGCCGTATCAGGGATTTGTATGCTGTTAGTTTGCATTCGTGAGTTGCATCTTTTAACGTTCGCTTCAAGAAGCCCAATTTTCGGAGCGCTTTCGAGCAGATTAGGTTTATATGTTTATGCCATTTTAAGTTCGGTGAGAAGGTTACGCCAAGATACTTGTATTCGTTGACATGCTTCATGTTCTGGCCATAGGAAAAACGTAGGGGTTCCTTCTTGTTTGTGAATGTCATGCTTACCGTTTTGTTAAGGTTTAGTGCCATTTGCCACGTTGAGCTCCAGGTACGGAAAGAAGAAAAAACATTATTTAACTGTATTTGGTCACGGGAGGTACTAATACAAGAATAGAGGACACAGTCGTCGGCGTATAGACGGAGTTTGACCTTTGTATTTTTTGTTATTTCGACAACATCGTTGAGATAAATTAGGAAAAGAAGAGGCCCAAGGACCGAGCCCTGCGGCACACCTGATGTGACAGGGAGGGATGACGAATGCGAATTGTTAAACGCGACAAACTGCTGCCTTAAATTTAGGTAATCTGAAAGCCAAGATAACAAGCGAATGCCGTGAGTGCCGCGCAGAAAGGCTTTTAATTTGAGGAGAAGTTTATTGTGGCAAACAGTATCAAACGCTTTCGAGTAGTCAATAAAAATGGCGTCCACTTGACCGCGATCATTTAAAGTCGAAGCGATGTCATGCGTAAACCCCAGCAACTGCGTGACTGTTGAAAATCCTGCACGAAAGCCATGTTGATTTTGGGAGAGGAGGTTGTTTTCAGTTAAATATGTGACTACATGTTTGTGAATAATGTGCTCTAGAATTTTACAGCAGGTGCAGATTAATGAAATAGGTCGATAGTTTGGAATTACTTGTTTGTCGCCAGATTTGAACACCGGAACAACTTTCGCATTTTTCCAAATCTGCGGTACAATTCCTGTTTCAAGGGATCTCTGAAAAATGACTGTTAAATACCTCGCATTCCATTCAGCGTAACGTTTTAAAAATGTGTTAGGGATGTTATCAGCGCCGGCACTCTTATTTGTGTCGATGTTCAGTAGTAGATTAACAACTCCAGCGTAACTAATCTGTAGTTCTGGGAAGGCAGGCAATGTACTGTCAAGACCGAAAGCGGGACTGGTACCATCATCTGTACTAAACACTGATTTGAAATAACCATTGAACGCTTCCGAGATAGTTAAAGGATCCGAAGAGGGCTGCTCGTTCACAATAAGTAAGGAAGATGTTGGGCCTGCAGGATTAAGAGTTTTCCAGAATTTAGATGGGTCGTTTTTCATAAAGGTTGTTAACGAACTTTCATAGTAGAATTTGCGGGCAGCGTGCATTTTTTCTCTTAGCTCTGATTTCAGAGAGTTCAATAAATGCTGGTTATTTAGGAGAGTGTTACGATGCCTTCGAAGTCGCTTTATTCGCCGAGTAAGCTGAATAATTTCTCTGTTTAGCCAAGGATGCCGAGGGTTTCGTTTTAGGCACTTCTGTGGGACATATGTGTGTATGCAGTGTTCAACAATCTTATAAAACTGCTCAACTAACAAGTCCACATGACATTGGTTGCTATTGAAGAAGAAATCATCAAAAGACGCTAAACAACGAGTTCCGGATTTCCTGTCGCGCATTTTTGCATAATAGCTTTTAGAGAATAACCGACCATGGTGGGCAGTGGCTATGGTGTTCGACTGCTTACCCGCAGGTCGCGGGACCGAATCCCAGTTGCGGCGTCCGCATTTCCGATGGAGGTAAAATGCTTGAGACCCGTGTAATTTGTATGCACGTTAAGGAAACCCATATTGTGCACATTTTTGGAGTTCTTCACAAATCACATCAGGGTTTTGTGCGTTAAGCACTAGTAGTTAATAATTAAAGTTTTAAGAATACATACCTATGGAAGTCGAGCATGCAGTAAAATATGTGTTATTGTGTTCTTAGGTGATAGGAAATTTTTTGAAGATATATGTCAGTCAGGCCAGTGAAAGCGTACGGGATATAAATTTATTTCTTCAACTGTAGCTTAGTAATTGTGAAGAACGGATGAGAGAATACATGTACACTTGGCGATCCTCCAGTGTACAGTGCTCATTGGGCGCAGTACACTGCACGAGTGTACCGTGTTGACTGGGTGCAGCACACTGGGTGAACTTTCAGTGTACTGTGTTCCTTCGTCCTCGTCCTTTTTTTTTTTGCTTTGTGTTCACCGAGTTAAGCATGCACGAACTACAAATTATAGCCTTGCTGTCTATTGAACTATACGATGAAAGGCACTGGCATTATTGCCTTTTAAATTCATTTCGTTGGGCCTAATGAATAAACGAGCCTCCACACTGAACAAAAAAACTCTTGCTTTCCTTCATGCACGCCGGAGAGTTCAAGGAGCTGCAGTAACTGCGTCGTCTTGGAGCTCTTTTTCATATGATTTGGTGGCAGCAAAAGAAAAGAAAAATAAAGGAGGGAGCTGGATAAGGGAAGGAGGAATGGACGGCGGTGAAATCCGTTGTCGAGCGAGCGCACAAAGCCGACGTCTTCATCGTACCCGTTCGCCCGCGTTAGAAGCTGTCGGCGCGCTACACTCAGAAGCATGGAGCTCTCGACCAGCTTACGATATGCAACCGGCTGCGGGAAGATAGCTGCGTCTGCCTCACTGCGTTTTTATCATTTTTGTTTTATTTCGCCTTGAATGCTTCTTTTTTATATAACTCCTTTTATTTTTATGTTCCGCGCTCTCTTTCTTTTTGCACTGCCCCGTTCGCTGTTCGCAGAACCGGGAGCTACGAGCAATCCCATTGTCACGGCAGAGCGTACCTGCGCGCTCCTCCCGCTATTCCGTGCAGCGAAGTTTACCGCACGGCATAAAGAGACCGTGCCGTGCTTCGTCCAGATGGGTGCCACTTCCCAGGAACGCTGCGAGAAATATTTTTAGAGGGGGCGGGGGAGGGAAGAGTGGCGATGTGGGTTTGTTGGTGAAACATTTGAAAGAAATTTATGTAGCGCGAGGCGAAAAAACGAACACAGGAAAGAACAGACTGAGAAGACAGAGCGCTACTATCAACAACATGTTTATTTTCGACCTCCAAGCTGCTTTTAAGCCATAATCGTCAGGCGACCAAGCAGATAAGCACGTGTAATTCAGATACATGCACGACAATGCCATCTATCTACAAGAAAAAACGATAAATAGGACAACGAAAAACCTCACAGATAAAATCACGGATCACTGCGTACGCAGGAACGCCAGTTCCTTGGGTGACAAGGCAATTGAAGGCTTGCTAATACATACATCTCCAAGAGCATCAATAAGTTCGGCCTCTATGATCAACCGAGTCATCTCATCCTTATGCCGACCAACAATGATTGTACTCTGGAACAAAGGCGGGCAGCCACACGCGTGAATGTGAAGAGCGAGAAAACCTTCTGGCGGCAGTTTATTCGCCTTGTAACTGTGTTCTCTCATGGGGGAGGGAAGGGTTCATTTACATTTTAAATATATCTGCGTGCGGGTTTATTGTGCGTTTGCACATACTGAAAAGGGAACATCGGTGATACTCCTGTGTCTATCATGGTACAATCATAAAATGGGACTCTCCAGCTGAGTTTGGTGGTTAGTTTTTATTAAAGACCTATAAAATTGAAGCAACCCCTTCCGTCTTCGGCAGTGTCGCTTTCTACAGCCGCTTCAAGTCAGAAAATATAAAAACTATGTGACACGCAAATGAGGTTTACAGCAACTCAGACATTTACTGATGTGCCGGCAAATTTTATCACCAAGAAAATAGACACGTCAACACCACGATATCTACTCAGTGTGTGGCACAGAATCACAAATACATATTTTATGCAGCCCGCACACAAGGTTACATACGCAAGAATTCTTTCAGTCTCTTGTCAAGATACGCATTTCTGTACTATTTAACACTGATGGATAGCTGTTGTTCAGATAGTTTGCCTTCGAAAGTTTAAACTTCTCGACTATATTATCTTTATCGTTGGTTCATGGCATCACGATAAATGAGACGGTGGCCCGGCCCTCAAGTTCTGACCACTTAACGTTTGATGACGCCGCGTCGGAAGCATGGCGCGCATTTTCGCACTCCTTGCGGAATGATATGCTGCCGGATTGAACCCACGACGTCGAGATAAGGCGTTGAGCTGAGGAAACGATGAGTGCGTTAATAATGTTTACTCTATATAGGATGCAGTGTTTCGTTATACAATTAGAAAGCCGCGGTACCCTTCGTCTACTGCTTTCATTTGATTGCGATGGTAAACCGCCCTGAATCCTGCCTTCGATTTCAGCAGCTGGAGGAAGGCCGGCAAGTATTGCGATGATTATTCTCTATCCTCACCTTTACTGCACTCTTGATTGATTGA